CACAGCTTCTCTAGCCATTCGTTTGTTGATGGGCACTTAGGTTGTTTCCAACTCCTTGCTATTGTGAACAAAGCTGCAATAAACATGGGTGTGCATAATTTATTCAATAAATATTAACTGAATGACTACTATATGTGTAGTATTTTGTACAATCAATTATTTGTTCATTGCAAATATCTTTTATAAGAAACATTGTTGTTGTTGTTGTTGTTGTTGTTATGTGCCGTCGAGTCACTTGCAACTCATGGCGACTCTATATACAACAGTCCTAAACTCTGCTCTGTCCTGTGCCAATCTCACTGTCTCCGACACACCCATCCCGATTACCCCAGTCACCAAATCAATCCACCTCCTAAAGGGCCTTCCCCTCCTGCGCCTGTCCTCCACCCTCCCAAGCATGATGTCCCTCTCCAAGGATCGGTCTCTCCTTACAACATGTCCAAAGTATGTTAGACGGAGCCTCAGAATTCTTGCCTCTAAGGAGCAGCCCAGTTTAACCCTCTCCAGGATGAAATCTGTTTGTTTTCTTAGCAGTCCATGGAACCCTCAGTACTCTTCTCCAATACCAAAGCTCAAAGGCATCAATTCACTCTCTATCCTCCCTAGTCATTGTCCAACTCTCTGATGTATAACAAGTGATTGCAAAGACCATGGCCTGTGTCAGATGCACCTTAGTCTCCAGAGATAAATGGCTACCATATACAAAGACCTCACCTGATAGTCTGCACTAGAATGAAATTGACTATATCTTTGGAAAAAATCATTGGAGAAGCTCAGTATCAGTTGTGTTAACTAAGCAGGTGCTGATTGTGGACTAGATCATGAACTACTTACATATCATTTCAAATTGAACCAAAGTTTGACCTTGAGTCTATCCCTCCTGAATGAAAAAACCATCTTAGGAACAGATTTGAGGCCTTAAACACTAATAAGTGAAGGCCAGATGAGATGTGGGAAGATATCAAGAATATTATGCAGGGGAGCTCTGGTGGCCTAGTGGCAAGAAGCTGCACTGCAATCCTAGAGGCGCACGGTTCGAATCCACCAGATGCTCTGCTGGGGAAGGAGGGACAATCTCCTCCTGTACCAGTCAGATCTGATTTGATGGTACACGCACACACACAAATAATAAAAATTTTTTTTAAATAATATTATGCATGAAGAATGTAAAAAGGTCATTAAAAAGACAGGAAGAAGAAAAGACAAAGATGGATGTCAAAGGGGAACTGACTGAATCTTGCACTGCAAAGGGAAGAAATCAAGAAGTTAAGGAACTGATGAAAAGATTTCAAAGGATAGCATAGGAATACATAGCAAAGTATTGTAATAAAATGTGGAAAGAACTAGAGTAGGAAAATCAAAAGGGTAAAACTTTTTTATTTTTTATGATTTTAATAAAAGTGTGCAGAAAATTTGTATTTTCATTCATTTATTGTTGCACATTTTCCTCCCTCCCTCTTCTTTAGCCCTACTCCAATTCACTTTTTTTTTCATATTCATTCATTGTTGCACAATTTCCTCCCTCCCCTCCCTCTTCCCCAGTCCTCTTTGCAATGTACCTCTTGTTCTGGACTGTTGCCTTACATATAATGTCTAATCATTTATTTCTTTTAAACAGTTCTTTCTTTCATCTGTTCCAATATAGTGTTCATTATCTATCCACTCTTTTCCTATTCTCCTCCTGACCCCCCCATATTAAACCTACTTTATAACAGTGGTGTTATGCAGTGTTTGTCTTTTTGTGACTGAAATATTTCACTCAGCATAATGCCCTCCAGGGTCATTCATGTTGTGTAATGTTTTACAAGTTCACCCCAGCAATACTAGCAAAGTTCTACAAAGTAGCAAACAACAAATGTTGGCAAGGTTGTGGAGAGGCTGGAACCCTTATTCACTGCTAATGGGAGTGTAAAATGGTACAACCGCTATGGAAGGCAATTTGGGACTTTTTCAAAAAGTTAGAAATAGAAATACCATTTGACCCACTACGGGGAATATACCCCGAAGAAACCAGAACCATCATCCAAACAGACATAAGTGCACCCATGTTTATTGCTGAGTTATTCACAACAGCAAAGAGATGGAAGCAACCCAAGTGCCCATCAACATACAAATGGACAGAAACACTATGGTGCATTCACACAATAGACTACTACACAGCACTGAAAAACAATGAGGTCAGCATTTCTTAAACTAAAGGATAAAGAACAAATTCAAACCTCAAGTTGCAATATTTAAGGATGCTGAGGGCAGAATGTTGAAAAACCCAGAAAGCATCAAAAGAAGATGGGAGGAAAATACAAAGTCACTGTATCAAAAAGAACTGGATGACACTGAAGTATTTAATTAAATAACTTCTGTTCAAGAGGCAATGGTGGTAAAGAAGGAAGTTCAAGCTGTTCTGAAGGAATTGGCCAATAGCAAGGCCCCATTAATTGATGGAATACCAATTGACATATTTCAACGAACAGCTGGAGCCCTGGAAGTGCTTGGTTAAGTTTGAGAACATTGAAATTAATTTTATTTCCAGGAATTAATTTATACTTATCACAATAAATTCAGGTAAGTATAGTATACAGTCATTATGGGAGCCTTCAGATTTAAAGCTCAAATTCATACATTTTCATATATAACAAGTCAGTATAAAGGTAATCAAAGAGGTTTACAGGTTTGAAGAGTTCTTACAGGTCACAATCTTGAGTGTTCTACCAGTCTATATATGGGACCAGTATGCCTGGCTATTTTTACTTTTTGAAATTTGTTCCATATTTTCTCAGACTTTCCACTATGATCTTGTTATGATGGGACAACAATGCTAACTGACCATGATCTAATCCTTCTGGTCTCAGGATTGAATAGGTTAAGGTTCTTGTGTCCCATCAGTTCTTTCCACTAATTTTTCCTATGCATCATTGCTTTCCTTCCCCTTTGTTACACATTACCAAAGCACCTCATAGGGCTTCAAAGGGCTTCTTTTATAAATGGAACTAAATTTTCAACCATAATTCACTTAGTCTTGATGCTCAAAGAATGTTAAATAACAATGTTGCTTTCTTAAACACATGCATACTATGTACCAGCAATTTTCTAGACATTTACAATTACATTTTTAGGCACAAAAATTAACCATCATGGATAAAATAAAAACTCCAAACTGTTTTCCTGAGAAAATATACTTTATTTGAGAATAAAATGAAGAATATGATATAGTGTATATATTAGTAAAATATAAATCTATAATCACAATATTGTTAAGGTTTATGGTCAGGCTTTTTAAATTGAATATATATATACATTTTTTCATTTCTTTTGAAAACAATAGATGAAAGATAAAAATCACATAAAACATATTTAACATCAGGATTAGAAATATAATAGTCTTTATTGTCTAATGGGCCAATGTATCTTCCTGTTTCTATTCCAGTATTAGAAATAATTTCTATTTCCCAGCAGAATTTTAGTCAACTGTATTGAACTTATTAATTTCCAAAAAGTAACTTACTTTAATGTGATGTACACCATTCATTTTTCCAATGTTCTGCTCAATGGTCCAAACACAGGAGCTGCATGTCATCCCCTCAATAGAAATGATGGCAGAATTCATACCTGTATTCATCTTTACTGCTTCTTTACATTCCTGTAGAAACAATAAACTTAATTTTATCCAAGAAAATTCTCTTTCTCTATTTATATTCTACTTCTCCAATTGAAAATGTGTTAGGAATTAAATGTCAGCATTCATTTCTACTTGCTTGGTATAATGGTTAACGTTAAATACCAACTTATTTGACTATAATTCTCAGTGGTTTCTTAAATAATGTAACCACCCTCTATTTTGTGATCTGAAATAAGCAGCCAACCATCCGGAAGGGGAGTTGCTTTGCAGGTGTAGCTGTTGTTGATACATGCCACTGAGTCGACTGCGACTTAAAGCAACCCTATGGACCATAGCTCTGAACCCTGCTCTATTCTGAGCCAGTCTCACTGTCTTTGACGCCTCTTCCCTGCATTAATTCAGTTACTCTGTCATTTCATCTCACACTGGGTCTTCCTCTCTTGTGCTGTCCCACTACCCTTAAAAGCATGATGTCGTTCTTCAAGGACTGGTCCCTCCTGGCAACATATCTAAAGTATGTCAGATGGAACTTCAAAAACCTTGCCTCAAGGAGCAACTTGGCTCCACGCTCTCTAGAACAAACCTGTTTGTTCTATTAGCGGTCCAGATTATGATCAATACTCTTCTCCAGCACCACAACTCAAGGACATCGATTCTTTTTCTGTCATCTTTAGTTATTACCCAGCTTTCTGATGCATAGCAAATAATTGTGAAGATCATGGCCTGGACCAGGTGCACCTTAGTATCTAAACTGATATCCTTACTCTGTAGCACTCTGGAGAGGTCTTTAAAAGCAGATTTTCCCAATGCAATTTGTCTTTGATTTCCTGGCTGCTGGTAACAAAGGTGTTGATTGTGGAACCAAGTAAACTGAAATAGTTAACAATCTCAATCTCTTCTCCATCTATCATGGATCAGTGATGAGAATCTTTCTTTTCTTGATGTTGGACTTCAATCCATATTGAAAACTGCAATCCTTGACATTCTGCAGCGGACACTTCAGGTCATCCTCAGTTTGGGCAAGGAAGGTTCTGTCATCTGCGTAACACTGGTTGTTGATGACTCTTCCTCCAATCCTGATGCACATGTCTCGTTATGAAGTCCAGCCACCCTAATAATCTGCTCCGCCTATAGATTAAAAATGGAGAAAGGACACAACTTTGACATACCCATTTGTTGATTTAGAACCATGCAGTGTTTTGTTGCTCTCTTTTGATAAATGCTTCTTGGTCCAGGTATAGGTTATGCATGAGCACAATTAGGTGTTCTGGGATTTCCATTCTTCTCAAGGTTAACCACAATCTGCTGTGATCCATAATCAACTGCTTCTGCATAGTCAATGAAATACAGACAGACACTGCTTTGGTACTCTCTGCTTTCAGCCAAGATAAATCTGACATTAGCAATGATGTCCCTAGTGCCACGGCCTCTTCAAACCCAGCTTTCCCTTCTGGTAGTTTTCTGTCAATGGATTTTGCTTGCATGTGATAGTGATATGGTTCTACAATTTCCACACACTGTTGGATTCCTTTTATTTCTTTTTTTTTTTTTCGACTGGGAATATATATGGATTTCTTCCAGTCAATTGCTAGGTAGTTTTCCTCTAGATTTCTTGGCACAATCTGCTGAGCACATCCAGGCCTACATTTATTTCTTGAAAAATGTCAATTACTATGCCATCAATTCCTGGGGCCTTGTTTTTTGTCAGTTCTTTCAGTGCCACTTCAACTTTCTCCTTCATCATTGTCTCTTGATCATATGTTGTTTCATGAAATTCTTCTGTGTCAGCCACTTCTTCTGGTACTCAGTGTACTCCTTAGTTAATATATTGCACATGGCACCCTTAGGATTGCCACTCGAGGCTTGTATTTGTTCTTCGGTTAGTTCCTTCAGCTTAAGAAATGCTGAGTGAGTCCAGCCCTTCTGATTTTCTAACTCCAGATCTTTGCAAACTCAATTATGCTTTTGCTTTGTCTTCCCAAGATGCCCTTTGAAATCTTCTCTTCAGCTCTTTAACTTCCTGATTTCTTCCTTTTGCTTTGGCTTCTTGGAATTCGAGTGCAATATTCACAGCCTCTTCCAGCATGCATCTTGGTCTTTTCTTCCTCCTCTGTATTAGTAATGACCTCTTGCATTCTTCATAGAAGATATTCTTGATATTCTCCCATAGCTCGTCTGGTCTCTCTTTACTGTGTAAGGCCTCAAACCTCTTACTGATATTTTTTTTTATTTAATTGAGATAAATTCAAGGTCAAATTTTCGTTCTTGTGGATATAAGGTGTAGTGTGCATCTAATATAGATGGACATTCTAACAAAGCTTATGATCTCTCTGGACACAGCATTTTTCTCATAGTCTGGACTCCAGTTCTTGGAGAAGACTTCAGTCAGCTGTCTGACCTGAAAATTTGAGAATTCTCCATCCGCAACAACTCTATAACCTAACAGATTGCTCCTTGAATTGCAAATTTTGGGTTTAACAGTCCCTTCAAGTCACATGAATCAGGAGAAACATTCAACCTTCTTCTTGACAAACAGATTTGATACTTGCCAGACCCTACAATTTTGTGAGCTATCTCCTGGAAGTAAATCAATCAATCAATCAATCAATCAATCTCTCCATTCTTTCCCTCTCTCTCTAGACACAACCTTGCTTGCTTCCCAATTTTGAACCAGGCAGTGTTTCCTTGCTATGTTCTGACGACTGCCTCCTGGTCCAAGTATAGGCTTTGCATAAGCACAATCAAGTGTTCTGGGATTCCTAGTCTTCTTAGAGTTTGTTGTGATCCACACAGTCAAATGCCTTTGCATAGTCAATGAAACACAGATAAACATTCCTCTGGTACTCTCTGCTTTCAGC